AAATGAACCAAATTACAAATAAATAAATTACTTTTTGAAACGATTAAAAATTTTCAATGAAAAAATATTAACATAAAAGTGTATAATACGAAGAAACTTTGCATATTGTGTTACAAAACAATTCTTTATCAGTTCTATTATATTGAAGAGAATATTCTACGAAAAATAAAGTATTTACTAATGAGTATCATTAAGCATTGGTTTCAACTCAAATGTCGTTAATGAAAGAAAGATCAGCTGATCAATACAGTAGTCATTGTAAAATGCTTCTCCTTATAATATTTTTCATTATGATTCAACAAACAATGTCAATACCATGTGAACATATCCAAATGGAATACAAAGCTAAATTTCTATCAAAATCTAATGATTATACTTTGATAGAAAATAAAAAGTTTATTAATTGGTTTTATCAAAAATTTACTCAAATGAATATACAATTTCCTTGGAGTAAAATTTCGAATAAAAAAAGAAAAACATTTTGAAAAGAATTTACTATAAATTTTTTTTTTTTTGTCATTCATAGATCTTATCGGTCAACAACTTGATGAATATAGCAATAGATCATTTTTGATTCAATTCACTTTTCAATTAGTATTATTATCGAATTTCAATTCTATCGTTCTTTTTTCCTATTCTTATACTTATTAATAGATTTCAAAAAATTCATGGATGGTTCTTATTATCTTTATTTTATTGTTTCTATTAATTTTCTTCATTATATCAAGTATAAAAACATTTTGTAAATACAAAAAAAATCAAAATCTTATACAAAAACAATCATTCATAAAGAATAATTATCAATCATCATGGAATAATGAATTTCAACAAGAAAAATCTCGTATTTATTCACATGCAATAAATACTTTACAATCATGTATTAACAACGATTATTATTCAAAAAAGCAAAAAGTCTGTCATATTTTATTTAAATGTATCTATTCAATATTTCTTATTTCTCTCTTATTAACAAAGTAAAACAAAATCATTTAGTTAATCTACCGAGAAAAAAAAATATATTTCATAGAGGTTTACTTTTATGGATGATTATAATTATTATTGAAGGAATTACTATTGAAAGAAAAATTCATGATTATATTCAAAAATCTTCATTAGAATTAATTTCATTTATAGAACATACAGCATTTGTAATTACTAGAAAATGATTGTTTCTTTTTTTTTTAATGAAGTTTTTAATATTTAGATAACAAAATGTTTTTCTCATTCAATTGAAATAAATGATAATAAATTTGAATCTATATTAATAACTAATGAAACACTTCATGTAAAATAAAATAAAAACTCTTTTTCTTGATAATATTTCAAATTTTTCTAGATCAATTTTGATTTAAAACTCGCATTAAAAGGTGTATCATTTTTAACGAATGTAATATATTTAACAAAAAAAAAGATTACTTTTGTAAATGAACTTAACTTTTTATTTATAGATTTTTCATGGTCTATCAATACATTTAAAAAACTTAGCAAATGTATTTCATTTATGGTTCATGTAAGATTATTCTTGGAAAAGAAGATCAGCTTCCGGGATTTTTTTTAAATATATTTTATCATCAGACGGGAGTGATTAGGCGACGGATAGTATGTAGTTGAGAATGAAAGCAAGAATGACATTGAGGGCAACTTACCAGCTGTAAGTAAGAGTTCACTATTCTGAACTATGACTCTTTATTTGGTAAAGGCAAAATGTGTTTTTTTTTTGCTGTCGATAGAGAAATCTACTTGTTTAAAACATTCCGGTAATCCTTCCAATAGAAGATAAATGTTCTATTACTTATTTTTTTTTTAGTATTTGTTTAATAACAATCATTTTTACTATTATATTTCTTATTATATGTGGATTTGTTGCTTATCTATTATTAAAAAGATTTCATTGTTCTCATCTTAAATCATTTCAATATACAAAAATGACTTTGATGTAAATTTATTATGAATAAATCTAATCGTCTATCTTGTGGTATTCTAGATTGTCAATTATCTATTGGATTGGTTTTGTTCTCTGGTAATTTATAAATACAGATTTATTCATTCATTGATTTTTTTGTTTTTACGAATTTAATATAGGTTAATTAAATTTGTTATCGTTTTTCCACATGTAGCTGGTGCTTGTTCAGCTTGTAATGATTTAAAACAAAAACAAGTTTACAATTCAGTAAGAAAAAAAATTTTATTGAATTAAAAAAAAATATTTCATGTCTCTATTTAGCTATTGTTTGCTAGTACATGGTTTAATTCAACTTTTCTCATGACAATGAATAATGAATCTATTGATATTGATCAATTAATTGAGTAGAATTTAGATTTAAAAGAGAAAGACAGAACAGCTTATGAATATATTTTGTTTCTAGAAAATGTAAATACAATCCATTATTATGGTCGATTAATGATTTTATTCGTTTGGCATTATTAGAGAATAAAGTAAATAAGATAGATATAGTTTAATTGACATATGTAAAAAAGATTATTCATCAATTGATTTTGTTTATTTCTAGAATACTAACATAGATAAAATGAATAGAGAAGACATTGATCTTAATCAATATCATCTAGTAAGATAATTTGAATATGAAATTAATCTTTATCATTCATTTCAAACGAAATATTAAAAAAACCTTCGCTCATGAATAGTAAAGTTACTAATGGATTCTTGAAAAGTAATGTGATCAAATTTTTGTATTGTTTCCAAACACGAGTTCATCATTTCTCGAAATCTTCTAGTTTAAGACTGATGAATCAATCGTTTAGAGGCGCAACAATTAAAGCTTGAACGAAGACAATTTACCAATAGTTTATTTCACTGAATGCGTTATAAAACTGATTTTTTTTACTAAAAAATTAACGACGAAAATGTTCTTTATATTGTGATATAAGAATCAAGAGTTTCAGAATACTTATTCAGAAATAGTTGAGCTTACTTTACAAGTCTGTTATCTCTGTAAATCGAAACAGTTGCCTAAAGTCCGATGATTCTCTAAATAAAGAATAGACTATTCATAGATTATCAAATTCTTAAAAATTCTCACTTTATTGAATAGATTGTTTATGTAATCCTAACTTTTCAATAGTTTTCTTCTGATTGATAATATGGCTGAATTTTGGTTTCGTAATCAGACTGTTTATTTATTTATTGTGTCATTCTCTCTGAATTTTTAAGAAGTCAATAAAGATGTTCCTTATCAATGACTATAGCAAGAGCTATAAAAGTAGAAATTTTAAAAATTAATCTACGATGTACAAGTATAGAAAAATTAAATGAAAATTTTCGAAAATATTATTTTTAAAGTTTTAAATCAATAATATTCCCGAATATTAGCTTTGCAATTAAAAACATATTTCAAGATGGTAGATTCTATTATTCAGTATATATGTTCAGCGAAATCTCCATGAGTAAACATGTATCATTTCGAACATAATCTCGTTCCTTTGAAACGATTTTTACTGAGAATGCATCTTCCAAAAGTGAATACGTCCCTATGGTGAAGTCGAACAGTGTTATTACGCTCCTTATTGCTATTCTACCCTCTTTAAAACGTACACACATATCCCGATTGTCTCTGTGTCCTCCTCATTCATTGGCAGACCGACGTGGTGGCGAATTGTGGCGATTGCTACATCAAAAAGTTTGAATTAATCTACAACGGGACAAAAATCGTTTCGAAAAACGATTTTTCAAGCGATTGTCACACCAAAAATTATTATTGCCATACAAAATCTGGGTCCTCATTGTTTCTAGCTGATGCACTAAACTATTGTTTCATTGATTGTTGTTACTGTACACATCAGGAAAAGCGATGACATCACAACACTACCTACGTTAAATGAAAAAACTCAATTAAGTAATGATAATAATGATGATAGTAGCTTATCAAAACGTAAATTAGATAAAAAATTGAATATTTCAATTGGTTCTGTGTCTAATATTTTAGAACGAAAAAGAAAACAGAATATTTAAATGATTATTAAACAAATCAAAATCAAACTATCACACAAAAACTCAAAAGTTTCCCTATAATAAAACTTGATAAATACTTATTTAGATGACTTGTAGCGTAACATTCCTCAAATTCACATACATCAACACCAAAACAATAATACAGGACTTTGTGAAACAAAGCAAAGTTTTTGGATTCATAAATATTCAAATAAAGAAAGATGAACAATAAAGAGCGTAATTTAGAGCTACTTCAAAACTATCCTTAGTGCCAAAATATAATCCAACTCGATATATTTTTGAATAGTTCGAGGACAAAAGTAGTCAAAACTTTGTGGTTTTCACTATTCGCAAGAGAAATATGGGAGAAGTGAAATTTTGCTGACTTTTTCGAACTATACATTGACCAAGCCGGTGAGTTTTTGCTATAGATTTTGACCAGCAATTTTCAGAAAGTTTCATTGCACAGAAAATGAATTCAAATCTAGTGAAGCGAAAAGTGAAGGCGTTTCTCTGTTGAGCTACACAATATTGACTCTTTTAGTTTGTTGCATTCAGGAGTTACAAGTGCTTTACTGAAGTTCTTGAAATTTGCCAACTGACAACTGGTCACTCTAAACTATATTGAATTTTGTGCATTCTCTTACACTGATCTAATTTCAGTTCGATCGTAAGCAGCTAGCTGACGATTTTCGAAATTCAATCTATACAAAGTTTTTAGCGTCAGATGGAATATTTTCCAGTTCCCGTCTTTCCAACGTCAGATCGTTTTCAAAACTAAGACTAGATACCACCATTATGGACTTAGAATAAACGAATTGGCCAACATCAATATAATTTAGAATGGTCAATGGCAAGTTTACCGATTTCAAAATTTTCAGTGAAACACTTATAACACCTGAATGGTCGACCTTGTTTAAATCGGCAGAGAAATGTCTTCGTTATCGATTTCCTCGATTGGACTTTATTCTTAGTTCAGAAAATTTTTTCCGAAAACTTCTGGTGAAAATCAAAAGTCTTTAGCAACTTTTGTTCTCAAGATATTCAAAAAATATTGAGCTACATTATATTTTGACGTCAACTTTAGTAAACAAGTTTATATTTTGAAATTATTTCTTATTTCTTAGTAAAATATACGATATCTTCCATAGATGAACATCATCCGATAATGAACACTACTCAAAAGGCTCAATGATGTTCATTTAAGAAAGGTTTTATCGTATAGATCAACATTTGTTTTAGTTTATGTTGAAATGGATGTCAGAGATACAGGTTTATTTTAAAAGGTATATCTATTTAAGAATTATTCTAAATATGAACGACAATTTGGTCATTGTCAAATTCTTTACGAACTTCATAACAATTTTACACAACTATTTTGTCATGGTTTTGTCAAACATCTAGTTTGTTTAATAATTTCAAATTTTATTTTTGTTTTTTTGTTGTATAACTTAAATTTCCTCCTTTAATTAGATTCATTATTTAATAACTACATTTATAACAACAATAAGTCATTTATTTTTATATTTAATAACGATTCTGCTTCGTCGATTTATTCAGTAAAAATCAATAATTTTCTAATATATATTTTTTGAAATTATTGTTTTTTTAGAAATTATAAATATGAATATACTCATCAGAATTTTTCATTTCAATTATCACCTATACTTACTACAGATCATTCTATGATGATACCTTCAAATGAAAATCAACAAGGTGAAATAGAAAAAAAAAATATTCGAATATCAAAATCATCCAATAATAATTCAATAAAATTCATACAAGATGTTATTAATCATTCTTATATCTAGAAATTCTTTACTTGTATGTTGATCTGTTGATTTGTTCATGATGTTCGATCTGTTTTGAATTAATAAATATCTTTCAATTCATGTTCTTTTTTTTTTCTTTTTCTATCCTTCTTGTCTTCATTTGTAAAATTGAATAACTGAAAAAAAGCTATGCATCAAAGTAATTTACTTAATAATATTCAAATAAAAGAAAATAGAGTAAGTCTTTAGAATTCAATTCTAAAAAAAAATTACTCTTTTGAAATAAATTTAGAATAGTAATGATGAACAATATGAAAATAGAGTGAATAAAAAATCAATTTATTCAAGAAAAACAATTATTTTAATACTTATTGCTGTTATTGCTGGATTAGGTTTAGTAGCAACTATAATACTTATTTCGATTGGTAAGAATTTTCAATTTTCAATTTAATTATACTATTATTTTGCTTCAGAGTTTCATCAAATTTATCGTCTATCGCACGAAACATCCGGTGAAAAATTAGATATTTTATATACATTTTTTTTTCTGATCACTTTCTGCCTCGATATGAGTACCTTTTGTAGTTTCAACTTATTAGCATGGAAATAAGATTGAATAGATTTCTTTATAATTTCTTTTTTTTTTTCTTTACAGTATTTCAACTTCGAACATCGAACTCTATGAATACGACAATACTCTCCACAATTAAACATACAACTGACACTACCAACACGAATTTTAGTAATAGTACATCATTGTTAACCACGTTGCCTATCACAACGACTTTAGTAACAACAACTACAAATGTTCTAACGAGAACAATTCAAGTTATTTCAACGGATACAATAACAACAACAACTATAGCTATGAGAAATTTATCAGTTGCCGCGAAATGATGTTTTTGCACAATGACAATCTTTTTTTTTTGATTCTAAGAAAATTTTTTCTTCTGTGCATAGAAAAATAAATAATTCATTAGCTGAATTAATATTTCACAATATATGTTTCATATCTATAATAAGTATCGAAATTACTCGACAAGACTTATTTTCAACTTTTTTTCCGCAGACGTATACGTTAGCAAGAATCGAAATAATGGTTCACAGACGAGCTAAAACATAATAAATTGATTTCATACAGAAATAAGACCAAATAATCGATTAGTACTATAGTTTTACATAACCACTAACTATAGTTGTGTGTCTAATTCATATTGATTGGTTCTTTATTCAACAGTGTTAAAAAACCTATAATTCATTTTTGAGAAAAAAAGTATTAAAGAATCACATGAATAACAATAATGATCCAGAACTGATAATTTCAATCGTACGAAATAAACTACCTAACAATTCAGTTTCTAAAACATTAAACGTGTCATATGCGCATCAGAACAGGTCTTTGTTAGAAATTTCTTTTTTGTTTCATAAACTATCGATTGCAGCGGCTTTTCTGAATGATAGATATCTATTTAAACTGTCGCAATTATAAAGTTTTAAAACGTTTAATAGTGTTTCCTTTAAAAATTTTGTAGATAGAAATCCCAATTATCGCCAGAGACTTCGCATAAATAATAATTTTCCATTGATGTACTTATGCAAATGCTAGTAAGATTGAATGACAACTTTCCATTCTTGACATCATCAATTATCGAAACCGAACGATTGAACAATGTTCGCTCAGCAATGAACTTTTTTGAACATACATCAGTTTATCGATTTTGAATTTTCAAAGTTGACAATATTATATGTAATTCTATTAGAATTAGAATTCTTCTTTTTTCTATTTTCATGCATTTTTTTCTGTAAGAAAATGACATTAAAGTCCATTGTAGAGTTTTATTAAACAATCGTGGTTTTCTATTGTATTTGATTCGTAAACAGTTTTAAATGGCCACTAAAGTGTAACTCTGCATCTACCCAAACGTGACACAACACTTAGGTCTACGTATACTATTGCTAGGATATACCTATAAGGTCATGAAGATCAGTGCATAGTTATAAAGCGAGATGTATAAGAGTATTGAAATAAGGCTCTGAACTTGAAAATATAGTTTTAATAATTTAGTTACAAGGGCGTACGATCAAAGATGTAGATCTAAATATAGAGAGATAAGAATATAGATCTGAAGAGATATTGAGATACGAGCAAGTAGATAAGCCTAATAGTGTAAATGTATAGGTCATTACGAACGCTTGTTTTCGATTTGACAGAAACCTTCGATACAAAATTATTTTTTCTTAAAATGTGCAGTATATGTGGCCTTTCCTTTTTTTTTCTTTCACTTCACTGTCCTGTATTTTCCGAGTAAACTTATAAATTGATATTGTTCAGGTATTCGTTTCCATCGTGTTTTGCGGTTTTTTTCTATTATTTTTGGTGTTTCTTTAACTCGTTCATTATAAATACTGGTCCTTTAAAAAGTAAAAATAGAAGTTTATTTTAGATTAGTTAGATTGATTCACTTGTTAACTACTTAAACTTAAATTCTTCTGAGAAGAAAAAAAATAATATTCAAGCAGGAATACAAGTAATAACAGCAAAAGCATCTAATCACTGCGCGAAAGAATGACTATTGATAATATGAGTTAGCTGTAACAGGATAACTTGAAATAATTGATGAAAGAAAAACAAAAAATTTTAAATGAAAAAAAAGTCAATATAATTTAAACATCTATTTCGATTAAAAAGATGATAACTAACAATGTGCGTCGTAATTATATAATTAATAGTGATGTATGGTTCATAATATATCCTGTAAATACAGTGATCAGAATTATTTTCATTTCTATGATTTCTTATGAATGAGACAAGGAACATATTGATACAAAACAATTTAACATGTATTACAACTGAAGAATATTCAATTGATGAAAGTAAATAATCAGTATTTTTGCATAAATTATACAAATGACTCGACGAAGACTACGATGGTCATTTTTGTAAGTAATGTTTCATGAAGTTTACTTCAATTTTAGAAGTTTCATTGAATAATAGTATTTATTTTCTATTTTAACAATTATTATCTTCGCATCAATATTTTTATCTGTTCGCTTGTTAAGTAAATATTTTCTTTTTTTCCTATACTCCAAATTTTCTTTTAGGACTAATTAAAAACTTAATCATTTCAAATATTACATCCACACTCATATACTAATAATGAACTATCTCTTGTAGATAACTTGACCTTAGAATAATTAACATATGACTGCAATTTTAGTCCTAACGGAGAAATTCTCATTTTTGCTTATTCGCCTATATTACACATATAGTCCTTATACTAATTTGTTGATTAGCAAAACTTGTCAAAGAAAAAAAAAAGACTTTGTTATTTCTAATTATTAAAATTTAATTCAAATATTATTTGGAATAAAAACATAGGATCCTCTATGATAAATAAATTGATTAATATTCTTATTGAAAATACATTATCAAAACTCGATTCTTTGTTTTTTTTTTCTTCATAAATCATTCTTATATAATATTTTATTTTCGATTATTAACAATCAGCATTGTTTCTTCTTTCAACACTCAATATTCATTATTTCTCTTTATGCTTGTGCATATTGATGATCTTATTATATAAGTTTGTCTTCACTGATCAAGAGTCAAATGTTCATTACTATCTTTTTTCACATGATTTTTCCTCATTGACAATAGAGCACCGTAGGTTATTGTTTGTTATCATTAGCATTATCGTAGACAAAATCAAACACTTGAAAATCATCAAGACAATAGAAAGAATTTTTTCTTTTTCTTTTTCTTTCTCTTCTAAATAGAACAAGTAGTTATGATGCATCCATACGGTGCCTGTTCTCATCTTCATTGTTTGAAAATGCATACAAACACACTTATCGCTTTAGAAAAAGGATTAATTGGTATCATATTGAATTATTAAACACGTTCTAATTTTTATTCAATATTTACCATTCTCTTTTTTCTTTTTTTTTTTTTTTTCTTCCACCTGATCGATCGATCGAACAAGGTGTTAGTTGAATGAAACAAATTAATGCAAAAGCGTGTTAAAAAGTATTATCTATAAATCTATAGAAATAATAACAATAATCATTGCTCTTCATAGGTTCTTCTTTCTTTTTTTTTGTTTTTTCATGAGAATACTCACACACATACACACACGACTGTGTTTACTGACAAGAACTTGTGAATTAGACAAGAATTATTGAAAATACGCATATTTACATAATGTGAAAAAACAATTCATTAGTTTAACACATTAGAAAAACGAAAAAAAAAAAAATTATTCATCAACGTCTGAGTCGTGATGTTCTTCCGTTATTGGTGTTGGTGTTTGTGTATTACCAGTGAGAGATGTTAATCGTTGTTGATGATCATCTAATGTTTGACGACGCCATTTAATACGACGATTTTGAAACCAAACCTTTAATTTAAAAAAAAAAAAACAAAAAATTTTTATTAAAAATATTCTAATACACAAAAAAATAAATATAGTTTACTTTAACTTGTGCTTCAGTTAAATCAAGTGTTGTTGCTAAATAAAATCTTTCATTTCCAACCATATATTGTTGTTTATCAAATTCTGATTCAAGTCTTTCAAGTTGTTCAGGTGTAAATATTGTACGAATACGTTTTGGTTTTATTTTATGATTAATTCCATGACGAGAATTATTGAGATGTTTATTTGATGTTAATCGATATGGTGAATGATCAGATTCAGATGATGATGAAACTATAAATACAAAAGAAACAGTTTTTTTTTTTTCTTCATATGATTTAGAAACTAAAAAATAAAACTCCTGTTTGATTTCTAATTTTTACGTGTAAGATCATTTTTATTGTTATTGTTGTTATTATTATTGTTATTATTTGGTGTCATATCAAGTGTTTTAAGTTGATTAAATAAAGCATAAGATGATATTGGTGGACTACGATATGATGTATGACCATCATCACTTGAACCATCTTCCGTATCATCATTATAACTTCGATTTGATATTTGATTATCTTTTGTTTTTATTTCTAAAAGTGATTCAATATCAAATGAACATTTTTTCACCGGACGATCAGAATTATTGCTAGAAAATCTAGATAAATACAACACAAAAAAAAATAATAACTGTATGAAGGAAAATTTTTTTTTTTTGGATATACTTTTTAGTTATAGTTTGACATTTTCCAAAATGTTTTCGTTTTCCATCAGATGTATTTGTTAAAAGATGTGTTTTAGTCATATCTTGAGATGGTAAATATATAAAAGATGGATGATAGAATGTTGATGGTGGTAGACCAAACATCGTTCAATTAGAACATAATAGTGACGAGTTTTGATCATTAAATGTGAATATTTTTTTTTTCTTCTTCTTCCCTCTTATGTTCTCTCTCGCTCCTTTTTTTTTCTTTGGGCGATGACGTTCGATCTTTTTTCTTGTTAAGTAGAGTGTTCGTTCGCCGTGGCTAATTGGTCGTTGTCGGAACGAGAGAATTATTTATGATTCGTAAGAATTGAAAAAAGAAAGAGAAAGATGAAGGAACACAACCAATGATTAAGCAATCCGGCAATAATATAATAACATTAAAAGTAAAGTAGCAAAAAAAAAAAAAAAGAAATCCGATTAAGATATGATGAAAAGAATAATATTTCATGATTATCTAGAATATTTTATTAAACATAAAAATATATATATATTGAAAAGAAAATTCATTATTTCAACCATGATTTATACATAAGTTTAAGTTGAAATAAAATCAAACAATTCTTTTTTTTTTTTGCGATTGTCATTACATTCAACCAAAGATTGAAGAGTATAGAGCTATTCATCTTAGCTAACATAATAGAAAACATTAATTGACATTATTAGACAAAACAAAAACTCTTTTTGAGAGATATCTATAAAGTAATTCATTTGAATGAATATTCTAAATAAATAAATTCTGAAAGAAAATAGGTTGTAAGTGAGAGAGTTGTGGATACCAAGTTTAGCTTTGCTTGAGTTTAGGTCTACAAAAATAAAATGTAGACGCACCGCTGTCTATTTCAAGTTCGATATAGTGTGATGGTATAAATGTTTGATTTCTATCGATTTTTAGGATTAACGAAGTGTTATACAATACAATTTTTATGTAATGAATTAATCTCATCAGAGAAAAAAAATATTGTCCTTGTTTTAGTGTCGATAATCATTCGATCCTTCTAACTTTAAGTTTTTATCAGATGCGGCAGATTGCTATATGTTCTTATATTTTGATCCTTAACACATAAGTCATTTCATTTTTTGTTTTTTTATGAATGATAATTAGTTTTTCTTTTATAGCTTTATTTTGTGTTTTAAGAGACAAAAAAAGAATCGAAAAGTTAATAAATCACATGGCATCATTTTTTTTGATAAATTTTTGCAATCTTTAAATAAATCAAATCAATTTTATGTATTGATATAGATAAACATACTTTTTTTGACTATTTGTTTTATTGAATATGTTCGACTATCAATCTTGCTTGTAGAATGATAATTACTGAATTTAATTTTAACTCCTATGAATGATGAATAAGTGAGACGCAATGTTTTAAGTAACAAAGAATTTCATCAGTTTCAGCACTATAAAGATTGAGACTACATTATTTAGGTAAAAAAAAAACAAAGAAAAGATTTAATTGAATTATTATTAATTTGTTTCTGATAGAGATGTCCTATTTTTATGTTTCATTTCATAAAGTGTTTGTCCTTTTTTTTTTTTCAGTAAAAGTAGTTTTTTATTCCAAAGAATCGTATAACGACTTGGATCATCTTGAATTATTATCTTAACAACTTGTGTGATTCTCAATGTTTTTTACATTAAAATTTAACATTTTGAATCGGAAATACATAAGATAATGTCAAATAATATTACAAGAACAAGGAGTAACGATAGTCTTTTTATCCATTTATATTTATGAATAGTTAATTCAATTTTATCGATTGTATACTTGCAATGTCAAAATAGTAAAGTAGAAAAGTGTTTTCTTATTATTTTATATGTAGTATCCTTTGGGCACTAAAAAAAACAGGAAGACAAGGACCATCGATGTTTAGATAAACATTTAGAAAGAACACGCGAAAAAGTAAGAAATATAGATAAATATTCAAACAATCGGCAAATCTTCTAGTATATATGTTGGTTCATATCTGTTCATTCGTTACATAGTGTCTTGATTCCATTTATGACTTGCATTGATTTTATAATGAGAGGACTTTGTCTAAGAATAAAAGTATGTTCTTTTTCTTGTTTTTTTTAAATGTTAAAAGAAAATTAAAAAAAAACACGAGGCAAATTACGTATAAAAAAATATCCAAGGAACAAACAATGAAATAGTTTGATATTGCATTGAAAAATTCCGAATCGTATTACTAATATTCGCTCACTTAATAACATAATAATACATCATTTTCACGGATGGATCAAACGAAATTTATTCATGAATCATTTCTAAGAGATATCCAATGCATCTAAACAAAGAACAATATATATATCTATTTCGAGGTTTTCACTTCTTCGGTTTTTTCATATGAGAAATTTCGCTTTACTTATCTTATTGAAAAATTTGAGATAATAAAATCTGTTAATATTAAGTAAGTTGTAGTAGTTGTCATCTACACTCTATTATGCTCTAAATGATATATTCTGTGTTCTATTTTCGTAATTAACACCAATGTCGAAGGTATTTTCTCAAAAATGAGATATTTATTTTACTGATTTTTGCCATTGCATATCAGTAGCTTTGATAACTGCAGCAATATAAATTCATTGAAGTACTTCATTATTATATGAATATGCCCAAACATATAACGGGTGCGACAGAATAAATTGCCACCTTTTGTATTTTATTTTTTCATCATATAGTGCGTTTTATTAAAAAGCAAAATATACCACAAGATGCAGTGTTAAAAACTCTACAATCTACAAAGTAAAATTTAGTTTAATTGTGTTCTTTTCGTTTTAAAAAAGAAGCAAAATTCTGTGCGACCAATATTTGACACTGCGAAAAAATCATCCTTTCGACACGGATGAGAAATTCCTTTTTTTTTTATTGAAAGAAATTCTTCTTTGTAAATTGTAATGGATCTTGTGATATATTTTGCTTTTTTTTTTTACGAAAATATATTAGTTGATAAGAAGATGAAATAAGAAAAAATTGTTTCCTGTGGCCGTGAAAAAAAATGATCTTTGAGCAGGATCGAAAATTGATCACACAGAATTTTACTTTGTTTAAAAACAAAAAGAACACAATTAAATTAACTTTTACTTTGTAGATTGTAGAGTTTTTCACATTGCATCTTGTGATATATTTTGTGCTTTTTTTTTATTGAAAACATTTGGTGATAAAAATATGAGATAACATGAGATAAGAAAAAATGATTTTTGGGCAGTGTCGATATTTGATCACTCAAAACTTTATTCATTATAAAAACAAAAATTGCAATTATAAAATCAGTGATCTTGTGTAAATTGTAGAGCTGTTCACGCTGCATCTTGTGGTATATTTTGCTTTTTAATAAAACGCACTATATGATGAAAAAATAAAATACAAAAGGCGGCAATTTATTCTGCCGCACCCGTTATATTGTCTGTCTTCTTTATGTAGTATTTGTTATGTTTCAGAACTTAGTGAAAAAAGAAGTATCATGGAAAGAAGGAAAAAGTTATTCAAATCTATGAAAATCCCAAGAGCTCATAAAAATGAACTTTAGGCATTATTTTTGTTTTGGTATCGTGGGATGCTTCGAGAATCAAAAATAAATACAAATTACTAGTTTCTATTGTTCGAGTATTTCACCAATCTTAATTTATTTGACTAAAAATATACCGAAAATTATATTCTATCTATAAAATCTCTTGATATATGAATTTTAGGATATAAAATAATTATTCATCAAACATCAAATTTATTTCGTCATAATGAAAATTTTATTGCATACGATTTGGAAAAACGTATTTAGATAAAAGATCATAGTCTTGTACAAAATATGCATTTGTGTATAAACAGCTTTTCATTTCGATTGAAATTTGCATTTTATGAAACTTTGAGATGTTACCAAGCGAAAAAACATCCCAATGATGAACGGAGAAAAAAGGTGAAATTGCACATAACTCAGTCTCAACTAATTGTACACATAGTAAAATCGACATGATTATATAATTTAGGAGAATATCAAACGTTGTTCAAGGATGTAACTTATGGGTGTGCATAGAGTGTGACGTGTTCTTGCCTTCAACTGCTTAGTTTCGTTTTTTGGGTGTATTCATTTTATTTCGATAAGTAAGGACGATAATACGAAGAAAAATAAACTACTAATAAATTATGATAAATAAAAGAGATATAAAACATATTTAAGTTCATTAAATAAAACTATTTAATCGAAACTAATTAAACATTTTTTCGTAAAAAGAATGATGAAGGCTTAATCGAATATTGCGACATCTGGGTGCTTTTCTGATGTGATGATTTGAAACAACCAATAAATGAAAAGGTTATTTCAAGTATTATTATTGCAGTCATTGAAATATATATGTAATAATTTTAGTTATGGGAAAAGAAAGTTATTATTTATTTCTTATTTATTAATCTAAAAGATACAATTAGTTAAATCAAGTTAGATGCATAAGTCTTTAAGTTTTTTCTTTATCATTTAACGTACAGCTGCACTTCTTCTTCGGTGTCCAACTTGAATTTTTTCATTAACAATATTATTTTTCTTATCATTATCATACCAATCAAATGGAAGTCGACCAAATTTAAGATCATTTTGAGGTAAATTTCGTACTGAATTCAATTTTGGAATTGTCTTAATTTTTGCTGATTGTTTTTTCTTTGTACTGTTTACAAGAATATGTTGTGGTGGAATAGGCAAACGCTGTTCACTTGATATATATTGTAATGGTGATGAACATATTGGTGCAGCTTGTATACATTGAAGAGGTCCAGCTTGTATTTGTTGTGGTTGTCCAATATTAGCAATTTGTGGCAATGACATTGATGGTTGTATCATTGGTTGACCACAAGAAATTATTACTGGACTTGAAGCTGTACTTACCATAGGATTCGATGAAGTAAGTTGTAAAGGTGATAAAGCAAGAGCTTGTTGTTGCATTGGTAATCCTAGGTGTTGTTGCATTGGTAATGCTAATTGTTGCTGCATTGGTAATGCTAATTGTTGTTGCATTGGTAATGCTAACTGTGGTTGCTGTTGAATTTGACCTGATTGTTGAATTTGAATAGGTGGTAAAACAATTTGTTGAGGTTGTGTTTGTATTTGCTGTTGAGCAGAAGCTCCTAGAGATGGTTGTGATTGCTGACATTGAACAGGTAAAAGTATAATTGGTTGTTGTGGTGGTGCTGTTGCACATCTTCGTGAATGAGAATGTGATCGATGACGATGACGATGTCGTGAACATGAACTTATTGTTGTACATGATGATAGTGATGAACATGAACTTGAGTCAATAATATGTATAACAGGACGACTACGTCTTGAACGACGACTGTGACGACACATACGCACAGGACGACGACGATGCCAATATGAACGAAGGCCTGGATCACAATATGGTGGTGGTGGCGGTCCAATCATGGACATTGGATCTGGAGCTGGATAGGACATTGGATCTTGAGCTGGATATGGCATTGGAGGTAGAATAGGAGGAGGTGGTGGATGCATTCGATGACAAGATGGTGGAGGAGGTAAGAAAGGAGGTGCACCACTATAATTCATTAATGGTGGTTCCATAGCACCCCGTGGAGGAAGATAGGAGTTTGGAGTAAGTACAGGAAAATTACTGGCTCCTCCCATAGGTGGAACACCTGGATAAAAACCACCACCCGCAGCACCTGGAACAAATGATTGTGGAGTCAGAGCTGGAAAAGGTCTAGGAGGTGGAGACATTTTGCCTCTTGGTGGTGCAAAAGGACGAGGTGGTGGTGGTTTGGCCAACTAAAATAGATAAAAATTAATAGAATTATGTAGCGCTGAAAATTTACTTCGTTGTGAAGAAAAAGCTTCAATATTACTGCCATATTTTGATTGAATAAACTGATTTTTCTCAATGCTCATACAAAAAAATGCTCATATAGTTTATACTCATAAGAAAATCAATGAAAAATATTGTCTTATAATGTTACATTTGACACCTGTGTAGATTAGTAATCTTGATAAGTTTCGAAAAAAAAAACCAATAGATTTGTTACTTGATCACAAATAAACAGTGAACAATATTTTTAAATCAATATTATGGACAATTATTATTTAATTCTAAATTTCTACGAGAAATTTATATCTTATTAATAAGTGTAATCTAACATTCATAGCATTTATATTTATATCAAAAGTAATATTTCAAAACAGTATTTCTCATTAATTTTCTTATGAATATAACCTATAAGCATTTTTTTATTATCATTAAAAAACAATCAGATCATGCAGTCAAAATAGGATAGAAATTTTCAAGTTTTTCTTTTCAGATTAGAATCTTTTTGAGTTATCCTATATTTAAATATTATATTTAAAAATCTGATGAAAAATATCTTTTCCAGATAAATCTAAAAATGACAACGACGGATCATAATCCTGATTCTGTTATGAAAATTGATCCGTGTGAACTAGATAGTCTTCGTTCAAACGTGCTGAAATCTCAAATAGCTACATATCGTTGTCTATCTCGAAATTTACCTGTATCAGATTCTTTACTTAATTCATGTTCATATAAATTACAATTAGCTAATCTAATTCAAAATCATCTTCAACAAGAACAATCAAATCCAACTAGTATTGTTCTTACTCAAACATCTGAAGCAAATGATCAAAATAATATTGATACATCATTAACATTTTCATCAGCAACAGATATGTATCGATGGTTAATTCGATCAAATGACAAAACTGAAGAAAAAGTTGTCAATCGAACTCAAAAACATCCAATTCATTTTAATCCATTATATAGTCAACAACAACAAGATAAACGGTAAATTATATAGTCTATATTGGTATTAAAATTCAACTGATTCTTTTTTATTTCTTAGTGCTCTTAATCGTATATCAAATCGTGTTCAAGAATTAGAACATATGCCAGCTAATATGAATGTTGAATTACGAACGCGAGCATTAATCGAATTAAAATCACTCAAATTACTTCAATTTCAAAAACAACTTCGTAGTGAAGTTCTTAATACAATGAAGGTTTTCATCTCTTCCTTTTTTTTATAACACACAATTAGAGATCGTCGAATTTGAATCTGAAAATTTTGGTCTCGATAGAATCTAATAGTCTGAGACATGTACAAGATGCACTAAACTTGGAATACAGAAAAATCTGAAAAAAGTAGCGACTCTCGAATGTCGATTAGAGAATGTTAATAAGAGTATCAAAGTATAGTTTAAACAGGTTCCAGTCCAAAAAATTTGGACCTGATGGACTCTAAACACGATTTAAAGAAGCGTTGTAGTATAAAGGCAGAAACTTGGGTCTGTGTGCTAGAAATGTTGTTTAACCCTTTCGCAGCGATATGAATATTGTTTTTTCATAATTGAGGAAAGATTTCATTTCTTTATTTATAAGAGCTGTAACACTTCAAAACAAGTTTTATCAACGTTTCTCTGATAAATATGAGCTATGAACATTCCTTTATTATTGCTTAAAGACTCAGTCTCTTTGTTTGAAGTATGGCAGAGATACTCAATCTTTTCTGTGGTAAACGAGCTTTTAAACTACTCTTTACTATGAGCCACCGGTGGTTTACATCGCCTCGAATGTGTTAAATAAAAGGATAATGAAGAAATGTATCCCAAAAATAGATAGAATTAAACAATCATTTTGTGATTAACAAAAGCTACTACATCATATGTTTCACATTTTAATTTTTTTGTATAATAGAAAGATACATTAATTCAAACTGCTCTTAATCCTCGTGCATATAAACGTCCAAAACGTCATCAACTTCGTGAAGCACGTTCAACTGAATATTATGAACGACAACGTAAATTAGAAATAAAACAACGAAAACATGCTAAACATCAAGCATTTTTAAATGCTATATTAACACATGCAAGAGATTTTCGTGAATATCATCGTCGATATACAATGGCAACAATACGTATGAATAAATCAATTCAAGCTTATTTTACTAATAATGAACGTGAATTAATTAAAGAACAAAAACGTCAAGAACGAGAACGTCTTTTTACTTTAATGAATAATGATGAAGAAGCTTATAGAAAATTAGTTGATGAAAAAAAAGATGCACGTTTAGCATTATTATTATCACAAACAGATGCTTATATTGATAGTTTAAAACAATTAGTACGACAACATCAACAAGCTAATCGTTCACAAGCACGATTAGATAAAACAAATACTGATAAATCAGAAGAATCCACAAGAACAGTAGTTACTTCTCCATCAATTAATAAAGAATCAAAAATGACGTAAATTTCTCATTGAATAAAATAGAAAAATTTAAAATATAAACATGTCATTTTTTCTTTTTTTTTTGTTAGTTCAACAATCGATCAAACTGGTAATGATAAAGCAATACGTGATGCTGTTAAAATTGCAGCAACAAATGAAGATGATGAATATGATGCTAAAGAATCTTATTATTCTATAGCTCATCGTATAGTTGAACCAATAACAGAACAATCAAAAATGCTTGTTGGTGGACAACTTAAACCATATCAATTACAAGGTCTTGAATGGCTTGTTTCATTATATAATAATAATTTAAATGGTATACTTGCTGATGAAATGGGTCTTGGAAAAACAATTCAAACAATAGCATTAATTGTATATTTAATTGATTGTAAAAAAAATTCAGGACCATCATTAATTATTGTTCCATTATCAACATTATCAAATTGGGCTGCAGAATTTCGACGTTGGGCACCTGATGTAACAGTTATACAATATAAAGGTTTACCACATGTACGTAAAATGCTTGGACAAACAATACGTACAAATCGTTTTAATGTTTTATTAACAACATATGAATATATTATGCGTGATCGTTCAATATTATCAAAAATTTCATGGAAATATTTAATTGTTGATGAAGGACATCGAATGAAAAATCATCATTGTAAATTAACACAAATATTAAATACATTTTATTCACATGCTCCACATCGTTTATTATTAACAGGTACACCATTACAAAATAATTTACCTGAATTATGGGCATTATTAAATTTTATTTTACCAACTATATTTAAATCTTCAACAACATTTACAGATTGGTTTAATGCACCATTTGCAACATTACCAAGTGAAAAAGTTGAATTAAATCATGAAGAAACTTTATTAATTATTAGACGATTACATAAAGTTTTACGACCATTTCTTTTACGTCGACTTAAAAAAGAAGTCGAATCACAATTACCAGAAAAAGTTAGTATTACTTTACTTTCTTTTTCTTTTTTACACAATCTAATTAAAATATGTGAAATTGTATTTACATATCAAACATACTCAATATCATTTATTTTTATCTGTTACATATTTACAAACCGTCTATAATGTTTTATCAGATCGAAGATGATAGACGTAGTCATTTAGATAAGTTCGTAGCTGATTAGTTATTTTTTGAATAAATTTGCAAAATAGACTTTTTTTTTTCTGATTTATTCAAAAATCTTAATAAAATATGTTTACATAACTTACGAGAAAAAAAATGATGATTTATTACTCACTAGGGAGTCTTTCCAACCTGAAAATCACTTTTAAGTTCGGACTCTATAACTAAAGTAGATCATAATAAGGTATTAAAAACTTCAAAAAGATAACAATTCCTAGACCTTTTCTAGAAAGCTATAGCCATCTTATTGAAACTTTAGCTTATAGTATGATATATGCAAAAGAATCAAATGACGATATATTGATCTGAAATTTTCAGAATAGTCTAGTTACCACTAAATTTTCAACGATTAATAGGGAAAGTTTATTGAGAAAATTGCATATGATAAAAGTTCATGTTCTTGTAGTTTTCTGTTTCTTTTTTCTCGTTCAGTTCTTTGTTTATTAACAAGGATATATGCAAAACGAACAAGATTTTATAGACGCTTTTTGCTTGATTTCGTCAGAAAAAGTTTAAAATAAAGTGAAAAAAACAGCTATAAAATTCTATTTTTTTTTGTAAATGTTAACATTGACAAACAAAGATAGAGAGAAAAGCTAAAAAATTACAAGATTACATGAAATATAATTGTTTTTTTAATATTTTTTCAATGAATTTTCGGAATAAACTAAGTTAAAAATTAAATACCGAAGTTTTAAATAAAGTGAGACGTTCCATTCATTGTGAAGAGAAAGGATATATGTTACCATTCTTCTCATCACTCATTTAAACGAATAAAGCTCGCAAAAAATATTTTTGTATTATAAAAAAAAAAAATGATGTCTTGTTATTAACAGATAGAAGTTAGATATTATGTATATGAAAACATGTTATAAATTCAACATAAATCTTTCTAGAATCAATTATTTTTTCATGATTCTTATAGGTTGAATATATAATAAAATGTGAATTATCTGCTTTACAACGTTGTCTTTATCATACTATGGCAAAAAATCGTACATTAATTATTGAAAATCAAAATGGTAAAAGTGGTCGTCGTGCATTAATGAATAAAATAATGCAATTACGTAAAATATGTAATCATCCATTTTTATTTCATGAAATAGAAGAACGTTTAGCACAATCATTAGGTTATGAAGATGGTGTTATAAATGGACCTGATCTATTTCGTGTATCAGGTAAATTTGAATTACTTGATCGTATATTACCAAAATTAAAAGCAAGTGAACATAAAATTTTATTATTTTGTCAAATGACAACTGTTATGGATTTACTTGAATATTATTTTCTTTATCGTAATTATTCATATATACGTTTAGATGGTACAACAAAAGCTGATGATCGTTGTGAATTATTAAAAAATTTTAATGATGATAATATAAATTGTTTTATATTTTTATTATCAACACGTGCTGGTGGTGTTGGATTAAATTTACAAAAAGCTGATACAGTTATTTTATTTGATTCTGATTGGAATCCACATCAAGATCAACAAGCACAAGATCGTGCACATCGTATTGGACAAAAAAATGAAGTACGAGTATTACGTTTAATAACTGTTAATACAATTGAAGAAAAAATCTTAGCTTGTGCTAGATATAAATTAAATGTTGATGAAAAAGTTATACAAGCTGGAAAATTTAATCGTTCATCAACATCAAGTGAACGACAAGATTATCTTGAACAATTAATTGAAGGTGAAGATGAATGTAAAGATGATGATGAAGATATACCAGATAATGAAATTCTTAATCAAGTAAAATCAAATTAGATTTTTTTTTTTTGCCTATCAATACTAAACTTTTAACAAGTTAACTATATCAAATTCTATGAGAAAAAAAAAACAAGATTTAGATTTAACATCGATTACAGGGATGTCGACAAGTTCAAATCTGAGAAATTATTCTATTCTTGCAAAATAGATACTAATTATTAATCTGTAGTTCTAATGAAAGAAGTTCTTTAATTATTCAATCACTTCTGAATCGAGATTATGTAGAACTAAATGAACTATGAATACTTTGAAAAAAGTTCTTGTTCTTAGTTTATTGCTACAGAAAGACTATACTATTGCAGCATAATATAAATGAATATCATGATAAGAGAATAACTGAATTTCAATTTGAAACTTTACATTGAGACAGTTAGAGAACTTCAATTTGTGAACTGAAAACTAATTTTATATCTAAGATGTTTTGATGACATATCAGATATTTTCTATCTAAAGAAATGAAGTTTGCTATTCTTGTCTTGGTAACATAAGTAGAAAAACAAATGAATAATCAGTGGTTAAATCTACGTTTTATGATTAAAATTTTTCTTCTCTTTTGATAGATGATTGCTCGAACTGAAAGTGAATTCAATTTATTCAATCGTTTGGATGTAGCAAGACGTGAATATGAATCGCGTTATGGTGTTGGTAGTGGTGGTGATGGTGCTAATGAACGTCGAGCATGGAAATTATCGAATACAAATGATAACACAAAATCTATATCTCGAGTTAAACGTAAAAAAGAAAGTGATAATGAAGATTCAATTGATCAAACAACAAAAACAAAGTATTGAAATAAATATCTTTGAATTTTTGTTTTCTTTATAATTAATATATTTATATAATATTTTAGTAAAATTTCAATATCATTAATAGATCCTAGTGATGATGAAATAACTCGAGAAGGAACATTAACAACAAGTGATGAAACTACTCCATCACTATTAGAAGAACTTGAAGATGAAGAAGATGTTGATTATACTCATGAAAAACCAAGAGTTCATCGTAAAATGAAAATAAGTCGTCTTATGACTGAAGATGAACTACCTGAATGGTTAAAAAATGATGTTGATCAAGTTGAAAAAACTCTTGAAATTGATGAAGATTTTGGTAAAGGACGTCGTCAACGTAAAGATATTGATTATAGTGATAATTTAACTGAAAGAGAATTTTTACAAGCATTAGAAGAAGGAAATTTAGATGATACACTTGAACAAAAACGTATACAAAAACAAAATCGTAAAAATAATAATCAATCATTACAAGATAATGATATTGATCTTGATGAAATTGAAACACGTTCATCATTTGATATTCCATCAACATCAATATTAAATCAACAAAATTTAATTTCAAAACGTGGTAGTATTAAAAAACGTTCCGAAACAATTGATCCAAAAATAACATCACAATGTCGTTTATTATATGATCATTTATTAGCTTATCGTACACATGATAATCGTCAATTAGCACAAGTATTCATACGTTTACCAGGACAAAAACAATTACCATTGTATTATCAAATTATTAAAGAGCCAATTGATTTTCAACGTATCAAAAGAAAAATAGATACATATCGTTATTCAAATTTAGAACAATTTGATGCTGATATTAAATTACTTGTAGAAAATGCACAAACATTTAATTGTGATACATCAGTTATTTATTCAGATTCAATTCAATTAGAAAAAGTTTATCAAAATTTACGTGAACAACTTAAATCCGGTACACTTCAATCATTAATAGAAACACCGACAACAACTATAACTGATGAATCAATAACAACATCTCAAAATTCATCTAAAAGAGGACGTAGCACACGAATAGCAACAACTACGACGACAACAATAACTACAAATAATAGAAGAGTTTCGCAAAGAGGACGTAAACGAAAAGCCATTATTCTTAAAGAAGATGATATATCTGACGAAGAACAAGTTATATCCGAAGATGGTGATAATGACGAACATTAATTTTTGATTATTTTTTAACTCTATTTTGCTGATAAACATATATATGTTTAAAAAGCCAAAAAAAGCACCGAATCAAATTTTTTTTTCTTTTACTAAGTGTTTTTTTTTAAATCAGTGGGTGTTTACAATTTTCATGTCTCCTTCCATCTCAATGACATTCATTATCGTCAAGGATAGATAAATAAGGTATACAGTCAATATTATTAATTTGCTAGTCTTACCTTATTGCCCATTTTAATGACGAATGGATCTGTTCAATAAGATGACCGCTTGTTGATATGGCTGAATAGTTGATATATTTCTCACTCGTCTTCTTTTTTTTTACCTCGCCCTATTCACCAGTGTAGCGGTCACAATTATGATTGTCCCGTTTTTTCTCACTTTTTCTCCGTCGTTCTCCAGTTAGATGTTGATTATGATCATTGACTATTTGAATGCGGTGTGATACTAATTTTGAAATGAACAGAAAAATATCGTTGTGTCTTCGTGGGTGAAGGTCTCTTAAACATTGTGTGAGAAGAAAGAGTGAATATAAAGGAAGATGAAGAAGAACCCCTTGTTCATATACATACCTGTTTTGTGTTAAAATGAATATGCATATGACAAGGGTAATAGGAAGGCAATCGAGCGTAAGATAGCAATGAGAAATAAGTGAAAGAATGAATATATATACTCTACGGCACGTTTTACCTGAATTATAAGAAGATATATGAGGTTCATTGAACATTTGATTTTTCGTAGGACACTTATGATTAGTTAAGGATTGATTAAACGATAGCATAAAATAAATGCGATTCATTGTAAATTTATCTTTTTTTTTTTAAATCAGATTGTATTTGTTCATTGTATAAGATAAAAAATGCAAAAAAAGAGAAGAAATAAAAATAAAAAATTTAGATAGACAGGCACGTTCATATCGATAATTGCATCGACATACACATTACGAATTTATAAATAAAATATACTTTTTTATGATATCTGTTTACAATTATCAAAATGATGTTTAACAAAAACAGTTCAAATAAAAAATTATTATGATTTCTATTAAAAAAAAAAATTTTTCAGCAAATGATAATAATCTTCTTTTTTAATATAAACATATGAATAAACTTAAATATTGATTTTTTTAAATAATGAACTAATAGATTAAGATTCTCGAAAAGAGTTTTAAAAAAGAAAAGTTGTTCTTGAATTTAATCTTGTGATAATACACTTTCGTTCTTCGATAGAATTGATTTAATATTAAAAAACAAAATCTTTTATATCATCATACATATATGAAATAATAATTTTTCACAAGTCACTTCTATTTATAATATTCATTTATTTTCTTGAATAGTTAATTTGACTAGATTATATATATTTACAATGCATATTGTCAAGTGACTTCATAGTTTTGACATTTATAAATATAATCAAAAGATGAAACAAGTATTTTTTGTATAATTAAAAATGTCCGAAAAAATATAATAAAAATCGATTTCTATTTTATAGTAAGGTTTTCAAAACTTGGCACGATAATATTTTGAATTTATAATAATTTCAAAGTGTAGTTAATAACTGAAGATACTTCGAAGCAAATAAAATCTTTTTGATATATCTTAAACTATATCGAAGGTGAACTCAATCAGATAAATGTATATAAAATCTATAATACAAATATACAATCTGTTACTATGAACTATAATAACAGGCAGGGTCTTACATTAGCGTTTCTATTAGTTGTATAAATTACAATATGCAAAATATCAATGGTCAAGCATTTGGAGAAATGAACTTTTCTATACAAGACTTGAAATCTTAGGTTCATGTAGTACGTATTTATCATGTATTACTGATAATATCGAACAATAGAAAGAAAGTTTAATCACAGCTCTCAATGTAAAGAATATAAATGGTGACACGACTATGTGCATAATATATGACGTTGATTTGAATGATTTGTAAATGGATACGTAATAGTTATGCAAAAGAAAATCATTTCGTATGACATAAACAAAATCGAAACAAAGAAAAATGTTATTTTAACCGTAAAGAGGTGTTTTAATAAAATGATTAATGATTATATATGGAAACAAAAGAAAACTTTTACTCAAATTAATCTTTTTTAATAGTTTTTACTTTTATCATAATAAACCTTTAGTGTTTTATAATTTTAAATTCAATACACTTTTTTGCTTATATTAATATTTTTAAAAACTATGATAAGTCATATTGGTTTTCATAAAATGATAAAATAAATCTGGTGAATAATTGACACTACTATTTATTAATTGTTGACATGCAATACAAAAGTCTTTTAAATATGATAATCTTCTCTACAGCAACAAAACGTCATTAGATAGATCCAAGTATAAGAAAAATCCAAAGAATAAATAAATAAATATGTATATAAAGACAATTGCATTAATATCAATTATCTTTTTCAATTTATATAATGTTCGCATTCAATAAATTACGCAACAGATTTTATCTTCAATTTGAATACTGAATTCATTGATTTTACTCTCAAGCATAACAAAAAAAAACGTTCCTATCGATTCAACATCACAAAAAACTAATTTTCAATATATATATATATCTCTAGAGATTTTGCTATGGTATATTAACACAAATATTGTGAACATCTGTCAAGCAGAGACATCTTATGTTGCTCTGTCTTGTTGAATAATAAACTTATCGAATAAGAAAATCTTAGTATTTTTTTTTTCTTCTTCTTCTTCTTTTAATCAAAATGCATGAACGAGCGGTACCATTCGTTCGACGCTGACGAGAACTCGCTCAATACTCATCAGAAAAAACAGAACATACTATTTCTCTTGTCTGTTTAGATGCATAATTGATATTTTTACTAATAATATCCGGACTAAATCTATTTGTTAGCTTCTTCTTTTCTTTTATTTTTCTAATCAATTAAGATTTTCTCCAAGACAAATAATGATTATAAATAACCATGAATAAACTACTTAAAACTTTAATACAAAAACGTGATGGTGGAACATCATCATCATCATCATCATCAACAACAACAACAGCAATACCAACAGAAGGTACATTATCAAATAATAATGCATCAACATCACCAGATATTCTTCTTACATTAACACATCTAAGAAAAGTTTTCTATGAATATCAACATCCAAAAATTCAATGGACACAACAAGATAAACATGATCGTCTATATTCAACATTACCTATGGTTATTAAAGTACTTAGTGTACTTACAAATAATGAATGGGAAGAACGTTTTCCTGAATTATCAGATTATACATTTACACTTGCTAAATTACTTGTTTATGAAATACGTATGCGTGCAGATAAAGAACCAAATCCATGTGCAGCAAGTCAAGCTATTATTGTATATCTTGAAATGAACGATGAAATAAATTCTCTATCAGGATGGTCATTACTACGTTCACTTAAATTATTATCAACAGGACCTAATTTTATTATGGATAAATTTGCACAAGCATCATTACCAAGTACATTTGTTAAATGTTTATATTTATTTTTTGATTTACCAGAAATAATAATAACATATTCAAATAATGATGTTATATCACCAAAAGAAAAACGTATATTATTTCAACAAATATTTTTTCAAGTAAGATTTTTTTTTTTGTAGATATTTATTAATTTACATTAAATAAATAGTTACATATATATATATATATGTTTATTATTATATAGCTTCTATCACGTATTGCAATGTCAAATTCATGTGTTGATGAATTAACACGACGTGATGATCTCTTATTATTATTTAATGCAATATCAAGTAATTGTCCCGAACGAAATAAACCATGGAGAATACAAGCATCGGAAATGCTTATTTTAATTGGAAAACATTCATTGCAACCAGCTATTCAATGCATTCATAGTAAATGAATTTTTTTTTCTAAATAAAAACTTTTCAAAAATAAAAATTTATTCTATATTCAATAGGTGCTCGATGTATATCTCAATGTGTGGAAAATTTACGTCGAGCATCATGTGATTTATCATTAATGGATACAGCTCGTGTTTATGAAACATTAATATGTTTATTAATTGAATCAGCATCATTATCATCAAGTCTTATGGATGATTTTCGTCTTGCACATTGTTATGTTCATATGAAAGATGTTGTTTTGAGGTAAATATGTCCACCAATCAGATTAAAGTTTTTTCTTATCATTCATAATTCTATTATGAAAGCTTTTTCGGACGTGACTATTTAACGGAAAGAGAACCTAATCACAATAGAAAATAAATATATAAGGTTTTTTTTTTTTTTTTTAAAAAACAGCAATCAATAGAAAAAAATTGTTTTCTTTCTTTTTGTTTTTCTTCTTCTTCTTTCAATAGACTTGAAAATGAATGGATTAATGATGAATCGGAAAAATTTTTTGCACACTTTATTACATTACTCGGTGATTTTACTTACGCAGGTCATAATGAGCTTAAATTACCTAGCCGACCTGAAACAATTATTGATATTCCAAATTTTGTTATGCCACAACCTAAAAAAACCGGTAGAAATATATATTCTTATATACTTAATTCATTTAGTTTATTATATTAGGTTTCATTGTTCGTAATATTTCGGCATTTACAATTCTTCAATCTATTTTTCAACAAGTTTGTTATTTATTTATAAATATATAATTATTATTCTTCTTTTGTTTAGTCGACTCATCCATTTCTTATTAATATAGTATTTGATACAATAAGTAGTATTATATTAGCTGATAATGCAAATTATTTTCTTTGTGGTGAAAATCTTTCACCAATAACTGAAGCACTTTATAATAAACCTAATGATGTACAATTAAAAATTTATGATCTTTTGGAATTTATTGTATTTCAACTTAAATATATTCCACATAGAGAACTTGTTAATTTATCTATAATGCTTAAATCACATAAGTATGTTTGAAATTATGATTATAATAATATAAAATAATAAAATTATTATTTATACTTCAATAATTTTTTAAATCTATAGAATCAAAAAATTTTATAGTTGAGATATTTTTTTATTATCTTAACGAATATCTATAAGGATGATTTCTTACAGTTGAATGAATTCTTTAGAGTTTTGACAAGATTAAATTGAGAATATTTTTTTTATTTAAATCTAAAGAAAATAAATTTTCTTTGTTTTTTTTTTTTTATTGTTTTAGTTGTGTACAAAGTCATAAAAATTGTGTAAAATATCTAATACATATACTTAAATTTAATAATGTATTAAAAGATGCTCTTCGTGAATTGGGTTTTATTGAAGTACTTATTGCACGTTTACATCATTTTGCAACATTACTTAAAGAATCAATACAAGATCCAAATGGTAAAAAAACAAACTAAATAAATAATTTTCTTTTTCTTTTTTTGTCTAATGTTTCTTTTTAGACAAAGGTGATAATATGGATCAAGAAGAAAAAGAATTAGGTTTCATGATTATGGAAGCATTAGCTTTACTTTTATCACATAATCAAAAAAATGCTAGTAAATAACAAATTTTATTGTTTCGTTTTTTTACATTGAAAATAAATATTTTTTTTTTCTTTTCTATAGAAATATTTCGAGAACATGGTGGTGCAAGACTTGCACATAATATTATTCCATATCGATTATGTCGAGTAGCAGCATTAACTGTTGTACTTCATCTTGTTTTATGTACTGGTGGTGAAGATGATACAGGAACATTATTAGGACTTATACATACAGCAAAATTAGAAGAATTAGAAATGAAATCAGTTATTCTTAAAGTAAATCTTTTATTTGATATGAAATATTTGTTTATAATATATAAATTTTCTATTATTAAGGGATTTCTTTATATACTTCGTGAAAGTCATCGAACTCGTACTGTCTTTCGAAAAGTTGGTGGTTTTGTCTATATTGTTTCATTATTAATATCAATGGAAGGTTGTTTTTCTGCACCACCTAAACATCCATGGACAACAGGTAAATATTTTATACAAATTTTTTTACTAGACAAACATAATATATATATGTTTATTTATTCTTTTAAATAAAGTATCTCGTCATGAAATTTTATCTATTATTCGTCTTATACTTAATACATTAACTGTAGCCATGCGTTTTGAACCTGGTAATGCTCGTCTATTTGAAAATGAGGTATGTAAATGAAAGAAAAAGTTAATTTATTATTATTAAAGATTCTCTTTGATGTCAAAACAACTTATTTGTTTATTATTATACAAAGATATGATGCAGAAATTTGTTTTTTTGTATAAAAACTTTCGGAAAGAGTTGTCTAGTATATATTTTACCATATATGAAAAATCTTCTAATCGATTTGTTTGATTATTGATGCAAACATACATATTGATGAAGAGTTCAGGATGTTAAGAGTTCGTAACATAAACTATTTGATCCGGTCAACAAATAAAGAACATCGGAAATATCTCCGAAAGGAAAGAACATGTAATATATTGATTGATAAACACTTTACCCTCTAGCATTAATCCAGTAGGATTAATTTTGAGTTAACTATGAGAATAGCTTAGTACAGATGTTGATCATGACATTGATATGGTTAATATTGAACGAAGTAATTTCTCTGTGGAGATATAGAATGGGTTATAAATTGAATAGCATAAAAATTGAATTTATTGTTAATTTGATTTTTTATCGTATTTATGTTGTTATTTTATATGTATCAAGCTGGAAATCTTGATGTTATGAGTTAGTTTTTGAAAAACAAAAAAGAGACTCATTTCAAGAGATGGTAAATGATTAAAAATTTGTAAAGGTGATTATTTTCTAATAGAAATTAGAATTTTCATTTCTAGGGCCATGTCAAAATGGTTAGCCGTCATGTTTTTTATTTATAATATGGAATCATTAGTTTTTGAATTTCGATTCGAAATCAATCATTTCCATTATTAAAATCTTGCTCAAAAGGAAAGGTTAAAAGAGAAGCTATAGATAATTGTCATAGAATACTTTCTAATTAAATGTTTAGCATGAAGATTGTGTCATTTTATAAGTTTATATCACAAATCAAATAATTCTAGCAAAAATCATTTTTCATGTTATTTACTACAAATGAGTTAAAAACGATTTGAAAATGAAAGTAACAGATTGATTATTACAAAAAAAAAATATTTGACAAGAAAAACAATTGTATTGTATAGAAATATTCATTAGTTTAATATTTAACTGACTGAATTATTATTCTTGACAAAGCTATTAATTTTTTTCATAAAAACTTACACATACAAAAAGAAAAGAAAAAGGAAAAATTTAATTTTTTTGTTTTTTTAATTACCTATTTCGAGAAATATTTCACTCAAGATAAGAAGAAAAGTATCTTTTTCCTATTTAGGTTCGTTGGCAAAGTTTATCTGATGCTATTAAATTACTGGGTTGTTTTACAAATGAAACTCGTCTTACTGATAGTGTAATATCATCAAAATTTGATTATGCATCTAAGCATAATTATGAAATATTCGAACAATTATTTTATTCACTTGATGAACGTATTATTTCAATAACTGATTTACCACTTGAACTTGTTAATGCTTGTCATATAGCACGATGTTTTCATGATATTGCACTTGATTGTATTGATAAGTAAGTTATTTTAATATTCAATTTATATTAAAACTATATAATTATTCAGTTATTCGAAATTTGCTGACGATTTTACCATTGACAAAATTTCTCAGTAAGCGCATGAGAAATGAATTTAACATTTAAAAAAAAACCTACAGGGAATGATATTAATTGCATGCATTATATTAAAAATTCTTGTTTTCTTTTTTTTGCAACAAAAAAAAAAATTTCTAACTTTTTTTTATTTTATTTATTCGAATATTTCCATTGATTAGCTATTTCTTTATTAAGATCATTAATAAATCCAAATTTAAGAAATGAACCTATCAAACATGGAACATCAATGGATAGTAGTGATGATGCAGTACCTAGTCCATTGTTTCGAACAAGTACCCTTAATATGCATTCAACAACACGAACATCAGCAACATTTACATTTCCATCTTATATGGATGAACCTATTATTGTTTATCCTGGTGCTATTGTTTGTTTTCTACAAATTATTTCTTCTATACCACGTACAATAGATGAACAGGTAAAAAATTAAATAGAATCACAAATAAAAAGAAATTCATTTAATTTTTTTGATATTTATTTATTTATTAATATTAGTATGCAAATCGTTTACAATATTTTTTAATGTTAACATTAAAAAATTTACTTAAATATGATCGTAATTTACAAATAATGGCTACATATGGTTTTTCACAACATATTATATATATATGTGAAATTGCATTACAAAATGAAAATCATCATTTACATACATCTGTACAATATATTTTTGAACGATTAGCTACTTTTATTTTACCTGTACGAACATTAAGGTAAAAGAAAAAAGAAGATAGAATAAAGGTTATTAGGATGAACCATAAATATCACTATAATAAGTAAAACGAAATGTATCTGCGTCAGTTTATTAAATAGATTAATTAGTGTTTTTGAAGGTTAATAGTAAAAGTTTATTCAAAAGTTTTTTTTTTTTTATATAGATAAACTAAGAAAATATTTTTATTAAGTATTATTGTCAGTATTATGAAAGTGATTTTATCTGTCATCAAGTGAAGAAGAATAAGAATATATGTGACTTTCAACTACCTTGTGGCAAAGTTATAACTGATTGAGAATTTTCACATTACTTTAGACTGATGAAAAATGGCCAGTTTGTTGGTTTTTTATTAATTTGTTAATGGAAATGGGTTCAAAAAAAGCATTTTATTTTTCTTTTTGTACTTACACTTTTACAAATCTTCTGAAAGAACTGCCGTGTTATAGGTATTTATACCTGTCAGATTTCTCAAAGATGAATATGCCACTAAGCCTTTTCACAAACAAGCCTAAGGTTACTCTTCAAATAATGATTCAAACTTGACTATGATCTTGATTAAAATATATATGATATAAGTTCCATTCAACTAACATAATTTTAATTTCGTTTTTTAAAGATTGTAATATATTTTGATTCAAGAAATCAAACAATGTGAATGAACAGAACAAAATAAAATTGATAGTTTATGAAACAACAATATTTGATTATATTGATAAGAGCAAGCAAACTTGATCTCAACAAGTTTCGTTAAAGAACAATGACATATCTATAAAATATTTTTCAATCGGTGAACACCAGTGAAATCGAATCGGTTACAACTCTGTCTTGCGATATATTGTGTCATGTGTAGTGTTTTATTGATAATTTCAGTTGTCATCTATATACGTAATGTTCAGTGTGTGTGTCTGTCTGTGCCGGATTAAAGGTCAAGCAACGCTGTAAGGGGGTAGGGCTATAAGGTGGTAAGGCTATCAAGGAGTCAGGCAATGATGGGGTAAGGCTATAAGAGGGAAAGGCTATAGGAAAGTGAGGCAATAAGGAGATAAGACTATAAGGGAGAAGACTATGGGGGAGTAAGACAATCAGGGGATAAGGCTGTAAAGGGGGAAGACTATAAGGAGTAAGGCTATAGGGGAGGAAGACTATAAGGGGTAAGGCTATAAAGGGATACGGCTATAAGAGTGTAAGGCTATAAGGGAGGAACGCTATAAGGGGTAAGGCTATAAGAGGATAAGGCTAAAAGGCCGTAAGGCTATATGGGCTATTAGCGATATAAGAATATCACGCCGTAGGGCTTCTATGTACATAATGTTGAGTGTTTGTGTGTCTGTTACCGCGTGAAAGGTTTGAGGTTGTACGTTCAAGAAAAAAAAGGTGCCGTGCAGTATGCACGGGTTCTCGCTAGTTTAAGAGAATAATAAGAAAAAAATCCAAAATGAACTGGATGTACATAGAATAAATTTTTAATATAAATTAGTTGAAAAGTCAACGATTAGAAAATTTCGAATTTTCAAATCGTAGAACGCTGGGTTTTGCAAGGAAATTGGTGCTCATAGGGCCATAATTGAGCGTTTTATTTATGTAGTACACATTTCAACATTTTTCAAAACTGAATAGTTTTGAAAAAGTGCTCTGTTTATATCAATATAGTATCATCTATAAAGTTTGTTTTGATTTCTTCTAATTCATTTCGATGAAAATTGAAAATTATCTATGAAACATTTCACATGTATTTTTCTTACTTTACAATACGTGAAGTTTCTTAAATGAAGTCGAAAAATGAGTCTACTCGGGCAAAGTGAAGTGAAAATATTTCAACTTTTTTTTTTTTTCATCATAATACTATTTATGACCTATATTGTGTAGTACATAAATATATATATGTATTTATTTATTTATTTATTTATCTTTAAAGACAATTTCTACGTATGGGTATTGATTCAATAATTAATCCAACATTATATATGACTTCTTCAAAAGATGCTAATTTAATAAATAAACCATTTGTACCATTAAATCGAATAAAATGTCTTGTTTCAATGACAACATTACGTGATATTCGTCGTGAAACACAAGTTTTATTATCATCAAATTCTCCAACAGGAATATTATCAAATACATCTTCAGTAATATTTCCATCATTTGTTGAATTTAATATGGGTATTGAAGGTTTTGGTGCTTTATTATTACCATGTATAAGTCCACAATCTATTACATCATCAAATAATGTTGTTGGTAATTTTGGTATGGTTACAATGGCCAATGATATTATATTACAAGGTGGTATGACATTAACAAATGGTGGTGAAAGACAATTTCCACCACAATATGGAATGACTTATTCAACATGGTTTTATGTTGAAAAATTTGGTCCTATTAAAGATAATATACATCCAATACGTCTTTTAACTATTATTCGAAATACATTTAATCATGAAGATTATCGATTTATATTACAAGTATATATACATCCAAAAGATAAATCTTTATTAGTATCAACACAAGAACATCCATTCCAAGGTAATTAAATTCAATTGTGTTTTTTATTTTCATTACATATGATATCTTTTACAGAGTATGCTCGAAAATTCAATTAAGTATTAGTACAGAAGATATTGTACGAATACAATTGACTACATCCTACATCTTCTATACTTGTACTTAATTGAGTTTTTTCCAAGAAAATCTTGAAAAAAAAAAAAATTTTTTTTAATCTTTTGTTATTATAATACTTAAAAAAAAATAATTTTCTTTTATTTGAAAGATTGTCATAATGATTCCATATGTACAGATGATATTAAATCAGATGGTATAGTTAAATTTATATGTTCAGAAATGATGATTGAACAAAGATGGACACATATAGCACTTGTTTGGACTAAAGGAATGCTTAAAAATAGTGCTGTTACATTATATATTAATGGAAAACAAATGGCTCTACAAAAAGTAAATAATATATTTAAAAAGATATTTATCACAGAAGAAATTAGAATTCAAAAACAAAAATTCTAAATTTTCTTAAGATAAATTAAAATTTCAGTTTTTTTTTCTATAGAAAATAAAAATATCTTTAATATTTCGTAAAAAATCAGTCTCCTTACAATGTCAAATACACTAAATCTATTAGATTTATTCAAGTATCAATTTCTCGATTTGCATGATGTCAATTGAACAACATTATCAACAATAATATTCATTCAAGCATACAATGTTATATGTGTGTGCAGGATTGATGAATCCTATTGAAGCATGTAACTATAATGACACTTAGTTAACAAAGAAATGTCATTGTATGACAATAAAAAAAAAACTACGCAATATCAAATGTCATGCATTAATCATGTTCAAATGTTTAATTTAATATTGCGTATTTTCCAAAAAAATAAAAATAATCAAGTTCATACTAAAGAAAAAAACTGAAATTTTAAATTTTAATTTCTTCTATAATATATTTTAATTTAAAAAAAAAATAAACAATATTTTTCTTTAGCTACATTATATAACTAATATGATTATTCCACCTGGAAATAGTATTTCAACATTTGCATATATTGGTTCATTACCAATACAACGTGTACATTCAGGTGTACAATGGCGTCAAGGTCCATGTTTTCTTATTGAAGATATACTTTCATCACAAATTATTCTAGCTTTATATGCAGCTGGTCCAAATTATATTGGTTCATTTCAAGCTGTTTGTATTGGTATGTGAACAAAAAAAAAAAAAAAAGGAAATGTTTAATCTACTTAATAAAATAAAATAAAATTCTTGTTTCTTTTTAGATCCACTTAATGATATATTTTCACCATTATTTCCTGAAGATAGAATTATATTTGGTTTACATCCAGCTAGTTTTTTTGAAACAACTTTATCACATTTTAGACAGCTCTATAGTAAAAATGATGCAAAATTAATTGCTAAACAGGTATAAGTTAAAAAAACAAAAGAGAAAGTCTTATGAAATTAATATTGATTTTTTTTCAGTTAAAAGAATTAAGAATTGAATTATAAATTCAATTAATTATTATAGTCTCTAGATGAAATAATCATTCAATATTGAATATATATATATTCTAAAATTGATTAGCTAAGATTAGTGAATCGTAATAGAATATTTATTTCATATAAGAATTATTATTATGAATAAATCTTTTCTACATAGCTTATTTCAAAGTTTTGATTAATTAATTTCGAAAAATATCATGTTATTATAATAATCATTTTTTTTTTCGTATGACATTTTAGTCAATGGAGAATTTGAGTCAAATGTATTAATTCTAAAAAAATCCATTTACAAGGGAATCTATTTAGCTGTTTTCTCCCTATTTCAATGGTTTTTTTTTTCTTATCTATAGATACTATAGATTATTCTAATAAAAACTCTAAAAGAATATCGGTTTCTATTGATATTTAACTAAATTATCGAATTTTTATCTAAAACTTTGTGTACAGAAAGAAATCAACCTGACTAACTTCCATAAAAAAAATTTCAGAAGTGTTGAACAAACTGTTTTTCAATGTATGAGACTTATCGATAGGTAATGTATACTATTCCACTTGAGTTCTCTATATGTACAAAGTTCGAAAATATGAGGCTTCTAAACAATAAGTGCGTCTATATGTAAAAAAATATCATTGGAATCGAAAGAGAACAACTGGAGAGGTGCCATCGTTAAATTATTCGTCATCAATAATGAACTTGTTTACAAAACCATATGTACGTTAGATTCGACATGCTGAATTATATTCTTAAGAAATAAAAACATATTACCTAGAAATCTCAATTGTTAGGAATTATACTTAAAACTATCATATATCATTTCGTTTGCTCTTCTGATTTCAATATTTAATATGTTGATATTCATATTTAGTTGAATATGCCAACAAATGAATCAACAGTACCTATTCGAATTTTACATAACATTGCAGCACCTTATAATGGTCCTGCTCGAACGATTGGCGGTGTAGTCATTGGTTATTTAGGTAAATATAATAGTATAAAAAGTTTTTTTTTTTTAACATTTTTATGATAATCGAGAAATCTCAAAGTTTAACATAAATAATCAATTATAAGATCCATAATCCATTTGTTTCAAATGTTTACATCAAATTCAAATATTTTTTTTTCTTTTAGTACTGTTACATACTATGCAAAAGTGCTTGATACTCTAAGAAATATAATTCCATCTTTGATGAAAATAATGTATTCCTAAAGTAATCTTTATCATCTTATGCTTCTCCAATTTGAAAGTATTAAAATAAACTTACTAGGGAACATTCCCAGGTGAAGGAGCACTTTTCAGCCAAGGTTTTACGCATCTTGTAGCCCATAGTGAGCTATGCCTATGGTAAAAAAGTTCGGGTTTCTGGCTTGATTCTGAGGAAATACCGAGCTCCTAGTAAATTTTCTCTATAGTATGCCTACATTGTTAGCAAAGCTATACTTCCGAATTTTGACCTGAAAGTTTGCTTGCATAAAGGCCTCAACTAGACTAATTTGCATAAAAAATTTCAGAAATTTTGAACAAAGTCTCTCTAAGATATGAAACTATCAAGGTATAGTCCCTTTTTCATAATAATATATATACTATGCATTTTTTTCAAAGCTTCGTATCTTAGAGAGACTTTGTTCAAAACTTCCGAAATTTGTTATGCAAACTAGTCTAGCTGAGGCCTTTATGTAAGCAAAGTTTCAGGTCAAAATTCGGAAGTATAGCTTTGCTAACAATGTAGGCATACTATAGAGAAAATTCACTAGGAGCTCGGTATCTCCTCAGAATCAAGTCAGAAATTCGAACTTTTTTTTACCATAAGCATAGCTCACTATGAGCTACAAGATGTACAAAATCCTGGCTGAAAATCGCTCCTTCACCTGGGAATGTTCCCTAGTTAGTATCATCTTTAAGGGATGCTAGGAGGTATTAGGGTCGCGACGGCTAATTGTCGCTCCCTTCCTGTCTTTCTTAACTGCAATATATCTGATAGAATTAAACTGTTTTTTTTTTATTGATACGAGACATTGTTTGAGATGCTTACTTTTTTTCTGATTTTATTTTATTTTTATGCTTTTTTAACTGAAGCTTGTGCTGTAAAACTCTGATAAAAATCAGTAGTATATCATATTTTAAGTCAAAGAAAAAACTTCGGTACCCGAAACATTTTCTAATATAGATAGAAGAAATTTTTTGGCTTGATCGAATGTATTGTAGTGAAGTTTTAATATTAATTTTTCTTTTATAAGGTGTTCGTATATTTGTTCCAAATCCTGTATCAAAAACTATTGAATATATTGGTGGTCCAAATGTTATGCTTGGTTTAATAGCAATGTCAAATGATATTGAAGCATTTTATGCATCTGTTAAAGCATTTGTTTGTATACTTAAATCAAATAAACAAATGCAACATGAACTATTAAGAACAAGAGCATATCAAGTAATTCGAAATATTTATTTTGATATTGATCTTTTTTCTTCAAATATTTTTTCTTTAGATTCTTGGTCTTTTATTTCTTAAAAAACGTTATCTAATTAATAGTCATATATTACATTTAACATGTACACTTGTTGGTACAATTGATACAATACGTGAATCAACAGCTATAACAAATTCAGCTGCTTTTGAACATCTGTTATGTGAATTTGAAGTAAAAGATTTTTTTTTTGTTTTTTTAAATTGCAAATTATCGTACTTTTCGTTTTTTTTTAGATTTGGAAAGGTGCTAGTCTTGATATACAAAAATCATTATTTGATCATTTACTTGATGTATTTTTAACAAGGTAAAAAAAAAAGGAATTTTCTCCTTTTTTTTAAAAATAAAACTCTTATATTTTCTTAGTGATACACAAAATTTAATGATGAACCAAAAATTATCACAAAAAATTAATTTAATGTCACGTTTGTTATATTTACTTAAAGATAGTTCATTACATGAATCAACACGTTTAATTATTATAAGTCTTATACGTGTATTACTTGTTACATATAAAACTACAAATGATATATTAAAGTAAATACATATAGAAAATATAATAATAAAAATTATTTTTTTATTAAATGTTTTTTTTTAGACTTGGTCAATTTCTTGTTTATCTTCTTCCATCAAGTTCAATATCAGAAAAAAATATGAATATTTATGGACGTAAGTTATTATTAATTAATATCTTATTTATTTTGACTTTTTCTATTTTTTTATCTCTAATATTTTAGCTACTGAAGATTTATCTATTGGTATACAAAATATAATTTTACGTAATTATCTTTTAGAAATGTTAGCTCGAACAATAGCTGAAGAAAAACGTTCACAAACAAAGTATGAATTAACCATAAAAAAAAAAATATGAATTTCTTTTTTTAAATATTTTTTATTTCATTTTAGTTTAACTGATGAATTTCTAACACATCTTGGTTATGATTGGCTTCTACTTTTTTTACAATCACATCTTCATCCACGTACAATTATTTTAACAACGAAATTACTTATTGCTTTTCTTTTATCATCATCAAATGCACTTACTCGTTTTCATGATAATGCTATGTTACTTACAAATTCATCAATGACAAATAATTCTTCAATACAATCATCATCAACAACAACAACAACAACATCAAATACAGCGAATACAACACCAGTATCACCATTAGCAATAAATAATGATAGTTGGATTAATGTATTTAATGATCGACCAACAACAAAACCTACATTTACATTAAATATTGATTCAACAATGGCACTTGGAAATAATACAAATGTATCTATACCTTTACCGGGTTTTGTTCTTTTACAATATATATATGCACAACAATCAGAAATTATACCAATTTATTATCAATTAACAGCATTTCTTTTTCGATTCATGCCATCTGATGATATGATGGAACTAACAGAGGTTAGAAAATACAAAAAAAAAAGATGTCTTTTTCAAAAATATGATAGCGATAATCATTTTTAAATTCAATTAAAAAAAATAGACAGAATTAACGATTTAACATGTTCACTATTGATGTATGTCTAGAAAACAGACAAATATATATATATATATATATTAAACCTGAACATGACCACTTGGCAGTGACGTATCCAGGATTTTTCAGTATGTTGAATCTCGATTTCTGAGCATGAGATCCAGATAAAACTCATGGAGGATGGTGTTGGATCTAAATGATGGA